TTATGTCAGTCATACTGTGTCATACATCTTATTTTCCATCACGTTCCCTCTGTGTTGACTGTCACCACTTGCCTGTTTCTTCATGTAACACATAGCTAGTACATACACCTCCCACTGTACTCCTGAAAGGTTTAGTGCTTACATTTTTGTACTTTATTTTTTATGGTATTCACACACATTTGCCTCATGCTCCTTTTTCTGGGATTAGAACAGTTTTAACAGCTGATTGAACCATGACGAGAGAATTTGACAGATTTTTTTTGTTGCTAAAATAATTATTTATAGCAAACACATTACTACTGTTGGTGTTTGTGCGAGTTGGTTACATCACATCTTAGTAATTTAACTGCAACAGAGGCATGAGATGCAAATCTCTGAAGGCATTTTACAAGGAGATGAGGTTACTGGAGGTCTAACTGATGTGTGAATAATGTGTCATGTTAATTGTTAAGCTAGAAGAAGAGAGGTCAGGCTGCCTGTCAGTAGTATGTGTACCGGTTTTGCTATGTAAATACATATAATTACACTAAAGGAAGCGTTCTGGTTTTAGTAACTTGCTATGATAATGTGAATACGTATAGTATTTGTACTTGTACTGTTCCCCTTTTTTTTCCAAAACAGTTTAAAAGAAAAAGAATCCCCAGAGGTAGCTATACATTGTAATTACAGCGGGAGAGTGTGGGGGTTGTGTTGTCTTAATGTGTATGAATACAAATGTTTGACCTCTTTGAGACGGTTCTTTTTTATCTACAGAATCAGTGCTCGCTGTACTTGCGTTTCTTTTGTATGTTTCAGAAACTGCCTTCAGGTGACCGGAGGCCTATGAGTGAATTTGTTTGTATCTTTTATATGTCATGATATCATATTTATATAGCTCAATAGTGGAAAGTTCATGTCATTTTCTTTTTCATGGTTGTGGTCTGCTTGCTGAAAATGCCATACACTTTTGTGCTGTTTCAAAATAAATGTTTAAAAGAGATCTTTGAGTCTTGCAACATGTTTATGTGTAGTGTTATCATTTAAATTGGACTAATATGACTAAGAATCAACAGCTATGCTAGTGAGTGACGCTCTATTTAGGCACAATGGTGCTTCAGCTAAATGCTAGTAGCGGCATGCTAACATAATTTGAAGTCACGATATGACAGACACTCATTTAATATAATCTATGTTTTACCAGGAAAAACCCAGTGAAGTTTGAAACCTTTTTCAATGGTGCCCTGGCCAAGATGGTGGCATCTAAAAATTAGACAAAAACATTGGGCAAAGTTAGTTTAGTATATGTGTTTACAATGTTCACCATTTTGAGTGTGTTAGCATGCTAACATTTGTTAATATGTCCAGTTAAGGTCAATGGTAATGTCAGTTTACCCGATATTTTATTGTAAACCAAAGTAGTTGGCAAATTAAAAATTTGACCTGGTGATGGCACCAGAGGGAAAGTTGAGAACAGTAGAGCCATTAGGATTCATACTGAATGGATGTCCATGCCAAATTTTGACTATTAATGTGTTTCATTAATTCAAAACTAAAGTGGTGAAAAGGAGATTTACTTGTGCTTTCATGTATAATTATGCTACAAAACACGTTTCTGTATTTAGAACTAATCTACTTGTTCCAAAACAGTCACAGAAAGGTATTTAAGTTTCATACAGTTTCAGCTAGTTTCACACCATACAAAGCATATTACAGGTGCATCTCAATAAATTTGAATATCGCGGAAAAGTCCATTTATTGCAGTAATTCAACTCAAATGGTGAAACTCGTGTATTATATAAATTCAGTGTACACACAGACTGAAGTAGTTTAAGCCGTTGGGTGTGTACACTGAATTTATATAATACACGAGTTTCACCATTTGAGTTGAATTACTGCAATAAATGGACTTTTCCGCGATATTCAAATTTATTGAGATGCACCTGTAAGATATTTTTCCTTTTTAACATTACCACAAAGTTGATTTTTCACTCTGGCTCCACCCTCTCCAGCTCCAGCTCCGGCTTGACCTCAGTGGCTTCCTGACATGTCTGGAGCTCAGTCAAAGTGGGAGGATGGTGGACTTCAATCATCAGCTCATAGATCAGTGTTCCCAGCAGCGCTCCGATGCAGGGAGCCACTATAGGTACCCACCACCAGCTTCTTCCAGCCCTGCAAAGACACAACAATTACCTTCAGTTTCCATTATAGCCATTAATATAGGACAACAAAGTGTTAATTTAAAACATTTTAAACATACAAATAAAAGTTTCCTGAGTGAAATCTACTAACGTGAAAACCTCCATTCCCCAGCCAGCGATGTACGTGAACAATCGAGGCCCAAAATCCCCAGCTGGGTTTAGGGGGTAGCCGCAGTTGGAGCCCATGGAGACGCCGATAACCAGCACCACTGCTCCCACCATTACAGGTTGAAAAGCATCTGGGAAGGAGCCATTCCTCTGGTCCCCAAGAGCCAGGACACACAGCAGCAGTGCAGCTGTGCCTATCACCTGGATAACATGGGAATTGTTACATATGTGCAAAAAGGTGGTTGTCTGCCAATCCCCTATCAGAGTCAAATAAAATCAGATGGAAAATCTTCATACATTGTATTAAAGCTCTCACAGTAGCCGTTTTCAAATGGTAGGCTCACAGGAACATCCAATTTAAAAGAAGTAACTTAACCGTTTCAGCAGGTAAAAGACTTTCATACATGAAAGATAAATTAGCAAGAGTGTCTCCATATTTGTAAGTCCAGATATTTAGTTTGCTGAAGTGGATATACATCAGTGAGACACAAGCTGTGATAAAGTTAGAGCATGCTTATGTTTCCCCTTGATTTCAGCAACAGGTTTTTAAATGAACAAAAAGAAAGCACAGTATCTGACCTGGTCGACAACACCCCCCCACACACTGAGGTAGTCAGCTGGGTAGGTGGAGAATATGTTTGCTGTGGCGGTGGGACCCATCACTGTCAGCTTACCTCCACTGTACATCTGAATGGCATCTGCAAACACATCATGCATGCAAAAAAAATTACATCCGCAGTATTACCAGACATTTGTTAAAAGCTACAGTGCCCAGCTGTTTTAGAAAATTATTTAGCTTTTATCAAAAAGGAAACTATACTAAACTGTGCCTCTGTGCCTACAGAAAGTTTCTTGTGCTCTTAGTGTACTATAGTTGAACACGTACCGTAGTACTGCAGACCAACAGTGGCTGCAGCCATAAAGGCTCCAAGCACTTGGAAGAAGACATAGAAAGGCAGCTTTATCCAAGGATGTCTGCCCAAAATGCACATGCTCAGGGAGACTGCAGGGTTCAGGTGGGCACCTTATAAAAGAACAGAAGATTTTAGGTCTGACATGAAACAAAATTATATATTTGGCTCCCATAATTGACAAATAAAATGCATTTTTAAATCCCTTAAATCTACCATCATGAAGTTTTGATCTGCACAATAAATAAATGTGATATTATTAAATACAAAATAGGAATTAGTTATCCTGCACAACTTAGGGACTACAGATACATTATTAGATGGATAAAGGTTCAGAAAAGAAAACTATAACGATAGTGTTAGGGTGATTTTTATTTTATGCACTTAAGAATGGTTTTATTTTATAACACACATAAGTTTACATACTTATATGTCACAGATATGCTTATATAGTTATGAATATCACTATGTGTTCACTTAACCACTGGTCAAATATTTGCTGTGTGAGTTACTGAAACACTAATGCAACATCATAAGTCTGGTGCACTGAGTAGTTTTCCAAGGTCTAATCATCCCACAGGTTTTCATTAGATTTGTTGCCTTTTCCAAAAGAGCCCATTATTCCCTCTGCTCCTTGAAGCCAGGGGAGTTGTGGTTTGATACGATACTAAGAAGCGTTGTGGGCTGTGCAAAGTGTCTGTTTCAGGACAAGGTCGCTCCAGGGACGAGATCGGACCAGAATGGGGGACCAATGACGGGAGAGTTAAGTCTAAACCACAGCTTCTCCCCAACAATTTTGGACCAATCAGATAGTAGCACTTTTTCATAAAAATATTGTATACCAACAAGTTGAGGACAGTCTTTTTCTGTTTTATCCTAAACAGTGAAGATCCATGTATACATGCTAGTTTTGATACGTTAATGCATAATAACTTTCACATTGAGAAATATATATCCTCTTATTAGTCTTCTCTTTTCAATATAAAACGAACAAGCACCACAATAGAGAGATTTTTTTTTTTTTGAAACGTCAGGCTCAGACCTCAGTCCTTTACCTGAGACTCCACGAGATACAAACATCCCAAACGTTACTCCCAGAGCAAAACCCAAATTGATTGACAGGTACTGCCCCTTCTTATCTTCAGCCGTTGTCACCTGAGCAACGGAGCCACGTCCAAACAGCTGCAATCACATGAGATGGAGAGGTGCATTAGCAGAATATAATACCATAGTGAAGTGTGTAAAAAAACAAATATCTGAATCTACAGCACATTGACCATTGATAATGTACATGACACATAGTGAGTGTTTATATATTCAATACAGAGGCAACGTGACACAGGTGAGCGTTGCCTTGCGTACACAGTCCTCATGTCATTACTAAGGAACCAGTTTTATGATGCACATTGTAAATGATAAACTGTTGAGATAAAACTAAACCACTGAAACCCTGCCAGGAGAGACAAACAAACATCAGTCCAAAAAAAAAAAAAAAAAAATCCCCCTCCCGCTGCACCACCCTCGCTCTTTATTCCCCCCCCCAATCTTCCCCCAGATTTTATTCTGGCTTTCTTTCAGGCCAAAGTCCTTGGTTATCCATTGCAAGGATTCACTAACTGCTTCAAAACAAGACTAAACATGTAATAGTTTCAGGAAACCATGCTGAATACTTGATGAGTTTACTGGATTAACTGGCAAAAAAAATTGTAATTTCTAACTTTTACAGCTTATTAAAAATAAGTGCAAAATCCCGCATCTACTGTAAAACATGCAAAGGTACAGTCTTTACCTCAGCAGGTTTTGGTGAGGCATTTTAAATAGTAGGAGAGACACTACATGATGAAATTAGGGGGTGAAATATTTGCTTTATATTTACAAGTCTATGCATTAGAGAAAGATCTATATGGTTAAACTCTTTCACCTTCACCAACAAGCTTCACGCAACTGATTCAAGTTTAAATCCATGTAACTATACTCACAATCAGGGTGTAGACACCGAGGCATTCCGCCATGCACTCCCTGACCAATTGGTTTCTGATCCGACATTTCTTCAGCAGCCTCTCCATTACTCAGGTTTCCTCTGTACTGGCCACAGGTGAGATTTTGGAGCTGGGTCACTGTCACCAAGTGTATCTGACCCATGCAGCACTTGCACCTCGTGTCTGACTAAGCAGAGTTTGTCCTTTCATACTGGAACTGCTGGTTACATCACACACTTTATTGTGTGGCTGACAAGGTGGTGTGTATGCACACATGTAAGGAGAGTAGGTAACATTATCTTTTTATTTTTTATTTTTATTAACCTAAATCACAGTATACATGATTAAGAAGTAAATCACTACACAGAACAGTCTGGCTGATAGTATGCTCTCACCTGATTGGAATTGGCTCTGATTGGTTCTCTCATTTGATTGGTCACTCCATTTCTTCTTCTTTCATTGCACAACAGGATCTGACCTATCACCTCAGAGGTTATACTGGACTTTCCAGATTCCTTTTTTTTTTACATGATGAATATCAATTTGCAGGTCTGCAGCAGCAATGGTGTATCAGAAAATTAGTGTCAGCACTGTGCTATTTTAGCCTCTTAATTCCTTTATGTCCATGAAAATGGTTTGCAATGATGGTGCCCTCTCTAAAGTGAAGGATAAAGCCTGTTTTCAAAAGGAAAAGCCAAGGCAGTGTTATCAGCACTGCCATTAGACCTTTTCATGTTGCACACATGAAAACACACAGATTTTCTTTTATTTTAATTGAATCCACCGAAGCTCATGTAAATCACAACCTTGATCAATGTCACACTGACACATATGAGCTTGTGATTTAATGGACATTGGGGAAAAAAATGAAAAAGAAAAAGGACAGTGCAGTTGAAGAAAAGGGGGAAAGGTGGAGCTAAATAAGATAAAGAGATAACATTAGGTGGAATGTGGTCATGCCCTGTTTAATGGATGAAGACATGATAAGGCTTGATTCCAAACTGGAGAGATCAAGATTATAAGTGAAAAGCTTGGTATAAACAGGACAGCGGGTAGAAATATGTAGAACAGGCTGCATTTTCTGTTACATTGTTTATCAAGGTCATTTCATCTAGAAATACCACAAAATCTGCAAATATGGCATGATGACTGAGGAACAAGTCTTTGGGCTCATTGAAGTACAAACACGGGGGCGGCAAAACACGAGATATTTATAAAGAATATCCAAATTATATCTTTAAGTTAAACGGTTTCAGTCATCGCAGCAGTTCAAGAACTATTCTTCTCAAATTTCTTTTAGACTGCAGTGTTTGCTAGTTCCAGAAACCAGAGGTTCACCTTAATGTTAGTTATGAACCACAGACAAATGATGTTAAGGTAAGGCTGTAGTGGCAAACACCATAAATATATTGAACTGAACTACATTGCCTTTTATTGGTTATGATTTCAACTTTTAATTTGTAAGACAATAATGGTGCAGTTTCTAATTGTAAGTTACACAGCTTCACTTTAAAGTGATATGAACTGAATTTAAATTAGCAGGCAAACACCAAGTACGTACTTCATAGACCTTTTTTATCTGATTCATCATACACACAGGTTTGTCTACAAGACAACACAAAAATATGTCACTGAAGTGTTTTAATGCCTGTCTCATTGTGTCAAAATGAGTGGTCTTCAGAACTGGCAGCATCTAGTCTGCAGAGGAAGGCAGACAGGCATACAAGAGTCCATTCATATACAGAGTATAAATATGCCAACTCACAAGAGAATCTAGAGAAGCACTCCTATACTGAAAGGTTTTCAGGCAACAAAACCTAAGGTCAATCAGCCCAGAGATAATACTTCACTTTGTGTTACTTAAATCCCCTGAAGAACTTGGTGAATAAAGAGTCATCATCCCGCATGTCTGAAAAACTACCTGAAATAAAAAGAATAATAATAAATAAGGCATTAGAAATACCGCAAGCTGGTATGTTGCTTTAAAAACTCTGAAACAGTGTACAACAAATGCGCCAACAGTTTAAAAACACAGACAGTGGAATAAGCTGACCTGGTAGAACAGGTCCAGTTTGATGGTCTGGTCCTTCCAGGTTCCCAGGACCTCCGGAACGGGTCACGGTGGTCTCCTCGTTACCTTGGCCGTCTCTAACTGTACGCCTTTCCTCTATGGTCTGACACACAAGCACCAAAACAGAGCTCACAACCAGGTGGTGGCAAAGATATAAATGATCAGTTTGTGCACTGCTGCACTGTTGTGCCAAATTCATACATGGCGTTACATAAGTGCAAACGTTTGTAGGATATGTGGCCTCAGCAGAAATCACTTCTCAGACCCTGGGGTTTTATTGTCACATTCAACCCAGTGGACTAAAATGGGCAACTTAATCTGCCCATGAAACATTTGAAATTCTACTGCTTATATTCATATATGGTTCATAATAAAATTAAGAAACTCTCTCTCTCACCCCATCAGGTTTCACCACCTTGGTGACAGTGACTGACTGGAAGAATGATCGAGTCCTGGGCTGGCTTGGAATCTGACCAGCAGGTGGCGTCAAAATCTGATCCAGGCCTGAGGAGGACACTGCAGAGTCCAGATCTGGAGAGATTTGAAAGTTAGATATGAGGAAAAATAAAAACCACACAATGCCTTACTTTCACTGAAAGATGTAAAATCTCTTTTACCTCTGTCTTCTTTGTGGTCCTGTTCTGGTGCTTTCTGTGGCCCCCTTCTCCAAATATCATTAAACTAATAAGACAACAAAAGCAAACGGAAAGACTGATAGGTAACAGTGAATGGTTTAATTTCATTTATACAAAACAAAACCAAGATAAAGCAGTGGCTCATTTCTCATTCACCTTTGAAAAAGGTGACGACCCATGAAATGGTGAGCTGGGAAGTCCTGGTGATTCATAGGAAGGGTGGCTATCATATCTGGGCTCTCTGGATGGCGCTGCTTGGGGCCGTTCTGGTTCACTGTCAGGGGTTTTCAACATAAAGTCTCTCAGGTGGTTCCCACCACCACTCTCTGCTCTCTCATGACATGGAGGTGGCATGATACTGGGAACACCTAGAACATAAAGGAAACAGACTGAATCTTCAATTGAGAAAAGCCTTAGAATGAAATGAAACAGGTGTCTGTTTTAAAACTGGATTAACAGCAGGGTAACGTGGACATGTTTGCTTGTGCAGGACCCTATCATTTACAGTAAAAGGCTGATTGAAAGAACAGACTTTCAGGGATGTTATGGCCTAATTGGAGTTTTTTTGCTCATATTACTTATTCCTAGATGAAGGGATAACAGAGACACATGGTAAAGCTGAAGCCAAGTAATATTCCAACATAGAAAGACTATTCACACACCAACACACAGTGAGGTAAAGATGTTTAATAGGGGCCCAAGTAACCAATTTTTGCCCCCAGTTCCCTCTAGCAGATTGATGCAGCAATAATAATTTTTAAAAAATCATTTCTAAGGCTGGCTAAGACAGAAGAGCAATAAAACACTGGATAGTGATGTAAAAACATGGTTTTTTTTTTTAATTTTTTTACCTAACTGTCCCTCCCAGCGGCCCATCTGGGAAAATATCTCCTCCATCTCTTGGAGGACGTGGCCAAACAGTGGGGGCTCCTGGATCCTGGTCCCGTCTGGGCCAAAGCTGAAGCCAAACCTCCAGGCACCAAAGGGGTTCTGCTGGTCTTCACGGAACCCATCATAATAGAATCCATCTTCTTCATAATCGTCGTCGTCGTCGTCATGAGTCATGGTATCGAAGAAGGAATCCCTGATACAGCATATGAAACAGACGGGTATTTAACTGTCATTAATATGCCCAATAGACTTCAAAGTACTCAGTCGTGTTACTTCCTGAATAAATATATATATAGTTAAATAGCAATGCCATGCTAGGTAAGGGACCCCTTGAGTGATCCTAGCAGAAACACTAATCTTATCCTTGACAAAGTGTGCAAAGCAGGTAACAAGTTAGCAGACTTTTGTTAGCATAGAAGTAACTAACAGTTAAATGACAACCCTGTAGTTAACTATGACTTCATAAACTTACCTTCGGCCATGATAACGGCCTCCGGGTACTCCGAAGAATCCGCGAAATAAGTCAAAAACACTCATTTACCGACAGTTTTTGTGGGAAACAAATCATAACTGCAACATAAGAAAACCGCAGATGTCAACACTGCCGTAAAGTGTTACTTCAGAATGACGCAACCTGTCGTAATGCTACGTTACCGTAATTAACTGAAGAAATTCGCAACAGATATAGCACCACGATCTCGGATATTTGCAAATATTCACCGTTCGCAATTAAATATAAAAACATACAATATAAAATGCGCCTTCTTGTTAATGCATCAGTATTAATTAAATGATACAACAGCATACAGCAGCCTAGTGTGGCGGGCTATTCTCCTGCCTAATACTTGGATACATTTAGCTCAAGTACAAATTTGAATGCAAAACCTTTACTGAAAATTCCTTTAAGTAGCAAATCCAACATGTAAAACTCGTGCATTCAGAGTGTTAATCTGCTAAAAAAGCAAATTGTAAATTAAACAGTTTTAAAACTAAAATTTTCTTTCTGAATAGACAGTGGTGGATTAAATAGTATATTATTCATTCCACCACTTTTTCCACTTCACATCTGATAATTTAATGCTTTATAGTAAATACCTTAATGCTTCCAAATCCTGCAAAACACAAATGCCTGGAGGGGTGAGTCAAAACAGAAAACAAACCTAAAGCCTGCGTCAGATGTTTCAGTAGTGTTCAACACTTGATGGCACAATTTCTTAGTCAGTTCGCACCAGCCTTGGCCAACCATCAGCTACACACATAGGACATCATTGTCAAAGCATGGAAGGGAGATGCTGCTGTATTTACAAGTCACATGAGAAACAATTACTTTCTTAAAAGACATTCACATCCAAAATGATGAAAATGTCTTTGTTTATTTACTTAATATTTATATATTTTTACAAAATAAAGAAAAAAGCTAACAAGTCTGCAAGGATTTGAAAAAGAAAAGAAGAAAGCCATCAAACAAATGGGACTACAGTACTTTGTTTTTTCTTTATATATGTACAAGACAAGTTTATCCATTTAATTTTTTTAAAACGCACAGTACAAAAAGAAAAAAATAAATCACAGACTAAAAACCCATAGTACAATTCTGTCCATCAGTATTCAATGCTGAAGGTTTCCTTACAATGTCAAGGGGACAGGTGGTGGTGGTGGTGGTGGGGTGGGTGGGGCTGAGTGACAAACAAAAGCAGACTGGGTGTGTATTAGCCTAGAAAAATCATTTCTCAGCATCTCTTGCAGAATAGGTGGGACCTCTATGCAACATATTTATAATTTATGGGAACAGTTACTGTACAAGTGTTTGATAATGAAAAATTCTGTCCTAGGAAAAATAAAACAAAAACAAAGCACAGTACACAACCACGGCCCCTGTGTGTACAAACATGCACGCAGTCACATGACAAACACACTTTTCTCACAGTCCAAGCCAGTGAGCTTGCTTATGTCTTTATATATATATCTATATTTTGTAAAAAATAAATTTCACAACTCTACCAATTTAGAGAATTGTTTCTTCAAACTTAAAATGACAAAAACAGGGGAAAAAAAAGGAAAACCCAAACAAAACATTATTCAGCAATTAAGCACACTGTGTCTGGGCATTTTGTGTGAGGGGGAAGAATTTCCACCAAACTTAAGGAGTGGGGAGATGAGGGTGAGAAATACAAACCCAGCCTGTCCCCCCACCTTCAGATTACTTCAATTCCTCCCCAGTAGCAAGAAAAAAAACAAAAAAGGGCGGGGAGGGGAACATTCATTCTTTTAGAAAACAGTTCTATGTTACATACAAAAGAAAGAAAGGGGGGTGGGGCAGGCGGATTATCATAATACAAATTCCCAACAATATTTTGCTGCTTGACGGTGCATTTCTATAACCATTTAGCTCCAATCTCCCATCTCTTCTAAGCCCCTTCTGTCCCTCCCACCCGTTGATGAAAAACATTACAGTGCTTGTTCTCTCGGCACAGCACCTCCTCTGACCGCGTCAGAGCGGCACGAGTGCTGGGCCAAGAGACTGGGGAGGGAAATCTCTGCAGGAGGGAGTTTATATGTGGAGACTTTTTGCGGTGTGCCCCCCCTTTTTTTGTGTACAAAGGGGGGGGGGGGGGGGGGCGCCCCCACAGCAGATGTTAGTTTGCCCCCCAGTTGTAGCTGTTATATCCCGATTTATTGATCTGGGACTTCTGCTGGATGGAGGCATTCTGGCTGCGCTGTCCAGTGCCACTCTGTTGAGAAACAACAGAGCTGTCACTTCATGCCATGTGTTTACTTATAGTGTGCAGCTTAGTGACATGATGAACCTGTACACACACGTTGTGATTCATCTGTTAAGGACAACTTGTAATGGCACTGCATGGATTTGAATGTACAGCTACATAATTATATGTCAATGCATACAAAATCATGAACATGACACACAAAGGTATTTATGATATACAATCCATCTGCGGTTTATCTGTTCTGCTTTTATCCTATCCTCGTCCGTCGTTTGTTTAGTTGTTTTAGCAATTATATATTTGTTTCTTGGTCCAGAGCAGCTGAACTACACTATTTGTGTAAAAGCGACCTGCCCCAACAAAAAGCATGTACACTACACCTGTCCATCCTGCTGCAGGTGATGGTGCAGAATCTGAGAGTGGGGTTGTTGGTGTGGTGCCAGGATGTGCATGAATGGGGCTGGGGCATAGCCAGCAGCAGCTGGGGGGTTGATGGGTCCCCCACTTCCTAAAGCTGAGGGCAGACTGAAAGAGGCTGCTGGCGTGCCAGTGTGGAAACCCTGCTTCTCAAATGACTGCTGCTGGAGAAGGTGAGACAAACAATATTTCGGACTCAGTATAAGACAAAAAAGCTACTTAATCATATCCATGAAAGAGAAAAAAAAATAGCCCTTTAGTGTCAAAAGGTCGTGACATATTAAACATTTAAGTTCAGTAATTACCTGCGTCTTTGTGTAAACGGACCCTGAAATATCCGGTACCCCTGTGTTGCTTGACGTTACAGAGACTCCTGCAGAGACAGGGGCAACAGGAAACAAACTCAGGCCAGAAAGTGGTAAACCAAACACAGAAAGGGGACAAGACCAGTTTCCAAACAAACCATAACCAGCCACGTGGTTATATCCTGATTCCAACCAGCAAAACTGCTAGAATGTTGTATTTACAAATAATTGAATATCTATATGGACACTTGCACACCGTGCGTTTTTTAGAACACAAATTCCAGCATCTTAGAAACAAATTCTTAGCACTGGGAAATTTCAGGTATAAACATCTGTGTCAGCATAAATTCATAGATGATTCTAGTAGAATTTCCCTTTGATAAAGACAGTAAAGAGAAACAGGGAGAGGGAATGAGGTGGGATGAGGTGAGCCAAAAGAGGGATGAGATAGACTGTGTTGCAGTGCATCAGTTCCAGCTAGTTGTTTTGGCACACAGTGTCTGGCCCCCTGTATCTCCACAGTGGCGCAAAATAGGGCTAGTTGGTGCACAAAACAAGACACTAGACACAAATGTTACAAGAATTTATAATATTAGCACCCTAAAATCCCCAAAAGCCTAATTTAAAAATGTAATTTCATAAGCATTAGGACTGAACACATGGTCACACCACAGTTCTTCTAGTGAGTGCAGTGCAAATAATTCTTTTCAGTCATTTAATTGATGATCAATGTGATGATTTTTCCCTAGAATAAATTTAGTCATAAAGTTAAAAAAGGTAGTAGAAAAAAGTAGTGGTGAAAAATGCCCTTTGTCTAAAACTTGTGATTAGCTAGGTCAGTGCACATGAAGAACCAGCTGATGAAGAGCAGCACTGTACTACTATGATGCGGTAAATCTGCTGTGTTCTCTGCTCCAATCACAAGGTCATCATCAGAAACAGTGACGATTTCAAAGTCACAAAAAAAAAAAAAAAAAATTCCTGTAACAGTCTATAATAAAGATGCTATGAAAAAGACAATAAAATAATTTGCATTGGTGTAAGAGCTGCCAACAGTTGCTGTAGTAGCAGAAGTACTCAAGGTTGGTGCAATTTCCTTCTGTCATCTCACTTAAGGACCGAATCACTAACTCTCTGGAAATGTTTCATGGAAATGTCACAATGCAACACTCCAAGAATTACAAGAGCAAGTATACCAAAGAACAACCTTTGAGCACATCTATACAAGGTGAATGTGATTTCATGCCAGCACAAGATGTGAGTGTTTAAGAGCAGCTGCTTTGATGAGGCTCTTCAAGCTGAATATTCATGCACTATGCAGTGATTTATAGCATTTCTGTGACTGTTGACATTTTGGTGCTCTCTCTCTCTCTCCTGGGTTGTATCCTACAGTGAGCTTGTTACTCTGGAGACAGACATACCAGCAATGACAACACGAGTGAAGAGCAAGCAACACAGAGGGAAAACGGAACAGCATCAACCAGAGCAATTCATCATCATTTTATGGGAGCAATAGCCCATGTAAGCTGCCACACTCTTCACATGAAAATGGTAACTATGCAGTACAACTGTCTGGAACATAAAAACCAGACTGGACTAATGAGGAGTTACCCTGGAAGAGAACAGGCATAGACAGAATGGCAGACGAGGCTTCTAAGAGAGGCAGGCGGCATTGGACCATCTAAAAGCATGACAGGGTCATCCCACTGGCACAGCTCATCAGCGATGGGGCAAAGGAATGAGAGCAAAGAAGGGGAGAGGAATGGTTGGTGACACAAGGAGGAAGATGGGAGGGACAGGAGTTTTTTTTTTCTTCCCCCATTTTTGTTTTAATTTGGCATGTGGCGGCACTCACCGACTCCTGGCCCGGTGACAGAGCTGGCTGGCTTGTTTTGTGCAGAAGCAGCAGCAGCCACGGCAGTGCCGTATCCGCCCTTACAGAAATCCCCACTCCCTGAAGCCTGGCCCACATCCTCATAGCCTGCAACAGTCAGACACACAGCCGCAGCCCACAGCATTAGACACACCAGGCAGGGGAGGCAGACCTGCCTCAGATAGCATTTGCAAATAATGCAGAGGGTTTTGTTTGAAACTGTGTACTACATAGACAGGTTTTACCAGACTGTGACAATACAGGTAGTGCCAATTCCTGTAGTTAACACACTATGTGAACATCTGAATACTTTGCCATAACTATTTAAACTTTGACACCAACTGCATTGTCCTGTGTGACAAAGCCCGCCCATCTGGTACAACATGCAAGGCAGAATCAATGCCAACCATCATTTGCAAGTACTATCTGACACAAGTCTTAAGGGAAGAGATGGGTGGGAGTGAGGGGGCAGGCAGGGTGTGTGTATGGTGGGGGGGTTGGAGAGTGCGCTTGAGTTGGGTGATGGCAGAAAGCAGCAGATGGTGCAGCTTAGAACAAACAGGGGTTTGCACATATTGTGACCAAAGGTGGATAGCGAGTGATGAATTCAAGTATAAAAATATAAACAGCATCACTGAAAAAGAGAAAAGAATATAAAGTGATTGAGTAAATGCCAGAAAGCCAATGGAAAAATATGAAACTGTTGGGAGAATAAAGGCTCAAAAGGGAGTCATTAAGAAATATGGGAAGATGACAGATTCTCCATTTCTTGATATGTTTATGACGAATGTGTATGCAGAAGATGGGGTGGATGGGAAAAGTCCTTGGGCAAACTCCACTTTCTGATATGAGCAAAGCAAGCCAGAGAAGACAACAGGAGACAGACAGATAACCTAAACCCCTCTAGTCTTTATTTATAGCTAGGTGCCCCTGTACAAATCTCTCTTCTCGTTCCCCTGTTGGTTTACATGGCAATCCCATATGTTTTATCACGAGAGGACATTTAATCGAAGTAACATATTTTCTTGCCATTGTAAACAGTGGAGTTATTGAGGCATATTCCTTGTGTGTAAAGGTCACAAAAACCATGTACATGATGCAGATGCATTTCCAATAGAAATCTAAACCTGGACATTAATCATGTTCATGGCTAATTTGACAACATTTTGTTTCAATCTGAGGTCAACAGTTTGAGAATTAGCAGACATGACTGTTTCATGAACTATTAATAACCTTGACACAAACATAAATGCCTTTACACAAGCATGTTTATGCTTGCAGATGTTGCACAGCTCAAATGAAACACTCCACACCAATGATCAATCTTTGGACTCCCTGTGAGAATCACAGATACTGGTACACAGGTATATAGTACAGGACCTGCATGACCCTTCTAAACATGCAGTTTCATTATGGTTTAGCCCCTCACCGGTGCTGTATCCATGGGAACCATAGCCACTAGCCTGCTGGAAGGGGGTGGCTGATGCACTGACACCGACATTCACACCGTGCTGTTTGGACGAGGTAGGAGCCACCTGGATGAAAACAAAATATATCTAAATTTAACATGTCAGCAAGGAGTAAAACACAAACTGAACAGTTTAAAGTGGAATAACAAGAAAGGGTCATCAAAATCTTGTTTCCCCATTTGGAATTTTTTTTCTTTTAAATAATTTGATTAAATTTCAAAATGCAGTAGTTGCACCAGAAGGAAAAAAAGTTTACATCCAAGATCCTCCAGCCTTCTGTGGAACATTAACCTAGTGATAAATCCTGGTCTTGCCCAAACCCACCTGTTTTCCATAATGATATGTCTAATTCTTATGAGAAAGTATCAAAAGCAGAACAGGCAACTCAGAGTGGGAGCAGGACAGTAATGGAATTTTAAGGACGTTCTCACCGGAAACATAGCAGGTCCATACTGGAACGTATTGGGAAGGCCCGGCATGCCAGTGTAGTATGGGAGACTTGTGTAGCTGTAGCCAGGTGGCAGCGCCGGGTTGAGGAAGGGCTGCTGTGTGGTGTGATGTGTCTGAGTCTGGTTCTGCTGTGCCTGAGCTAATGTGGTGGCTGGAGCAGGGGATGATGCATCACCTCGACCAAACTTTGATAAATCACCTGCATGGTAAAAGGCAGAGTGAGAAATGACTAAACAGTATGAAAATATAAGGATGGCCAGTGAGACCGAGAAAATCATTATCTCAGGTAAAAAAAAAAAAAAAAGACTATAAAGAAGAATGAAGAAGAGGTGCCTGAGTTGACAGGATGGCCTGGGCAGGCAGTCTCAACTCAGCATTCCCAAGAAGCATTTATCTTTATCCCACTTCCCTTGATCTTTGGAATATCTCCAACAGCAATAAATAATTGAATACTGGGATCATGTTAATAAGGATAATATTGGCCACATGGCTTTATAAAGCCAATGTGTGAGCACAGACAGGTGCACTATCATCATGCCAGGCTCAGTTTACAACCATCACCATAAAAGCTTCCAGTAATCTCTGCAGCCCACTACATAATTGTCAGGATTTCAATACAGTCAGGCCTTTATCATCTGCTCCTCCTTCATGTGAGCATATAAACCTTCAATGTGCAGCTAGATGCTGAACAGACAGTAAACTCAACTTTTAACAGATGTTAATTGTTAGTGGATGGCTCACCAGAATAAGGGTTGTTCGTCAGGCTGCCATCCCTGCCAGTCAATGCTGTTGTGGGAGTTGCAAAGGGGATGCTGTAATAATCCTGGAGAAAAAAAATTTTTTTTTATAAACTAAACACCTAGTCCATGAAGTATGACTTGCCCATCATGTTTTTTGGAGCAGGTGAATACTCACCAGCGGTATTCTTGTCTGCAGCATCTGTAGGTCATCATAGCCATACACCTGAGGCTGAGATGATGCAAAAAAATGTCAGAAACTAACTACACTACATTTATTAGCTAAAACTAACAGTTCTGCAATAATTGTGCCTTCATGGAGGTGATAATGTTCAGTTTTTGTTCAAGACATTTAGGGAGGTGACAAGAGATGTACTTTAAGATTCTGTTTGACCTGAACTTACAGGGTAGGCATGCAGCAGTCCTGGGGCCATGATGTATGGGTTGGGCAGTAGAGGGGGAACCCCGGGTGGCAGGTTTGGAGGTGCCTTCCCTGAATGCAGAAAACAATATAAAGAATGCACTGATTTTCCCAATCAGCCAATGCATACAAAATCTATAATCACTGGGCACTGTGAAAATATAACCATTTAATTGCAAGTGGAAACTCGAGACATAAGTGATGGAAACACAGTGAAGTTGCACAGTCATGAAAAAATATCCCAGTTTCAACCTATTGAAATGAGGGAGCAGAGACAAAAACACCAAACATGTAAAGAGAAACAAACAGAGCAAGATGAGTCAGAATCATGGACGTCCTGCCAGCGATGCTGAGGAAATGGAAACCAACTGATCCAGCCCCATTTCTGACAGGGCTCCCACCATATAAAGGGTCACAGTTTTTCCTCTTTTCCACATTCAGAAATGTACACTGACAGCCACTTTATTAGGTACACCTGTATATTTGTATACAATTCAATGCAACACTTCTGCCTTAACATATACAACCAGTAAGACCGGTATACAATGCTAGAATTAACTCACTAGTTGAATACTGAGAGAGCAAAAATAAAGTATGAGAGGAAGACAATGTGAAGAGGGGGCATATGACAACCTTTTGATTTTTGTTTTAAGTTCATGCTGCGTGATCTGGATATACTACTGTCAGATGAGGAAGTGGATATTTCTTACTGCCATGTGCTTGTGGTTATTTCTCACCTGAGGATGCTGCAGAGCTGCGTGTGGATGAGGAAGTAGCTGAAGAGGGAATGGTCGAAGCCGTTGTGGAGACTGAAACTGCAGCAGCTGCTGCAGGTGGGGCACCCATGGAGGCAGTGTTGAGACCCATGGTAAGACTGGTGGCGGGGCCAAGTCCAGCAGGGGCTGAAACTGCAGCAGAGCCCACCGTGGAGGCCTGTGGGGTCCCTACCTGCGCAGCAGCGGCCACCGAGGAAGACGAGGAGGGGACTGATGATGATGGCATGGCTGAGACGGAGGAAGGGAAGGAAGAGGAGTGCAGGCTTGAGTCACCGTCTACACTGGGATGCTGCAGAGATGGAAGGAAGGAGAGAGAAAGATGCAGTCAGGACTGATGAGATTACATTTCCATTAGAGTAAATGTACAATGTCTCCTCTGTCATCACAGGAAGCTCAGCTTTGAAAATGCTCACAGAGATGGAGGCTGATACACTCTCCTGCATAAACACACAACCTTTACTGTCTGGTTATTTAAAAAACAAAACAAAACAAAACACATTTAATCTGCTCTTTCATTGGTCATACATAAGCAAACACCAATATATCACAGCCACATTTCTTGTGTACAAATACAGACAACAATAAAGAACTCACCAGTAAGCCTGAGTTGGATGCCCGGACTGAAGATGGAGCAAGACTGTTCTGTTGTGATGGGTGAGAGCTGTAAAAATGACGGGAAGGTTTAGAGCAGGTTTCACTTATCACCAGATACTTGTGTTCACCCTGAGCTTTTAACTTAAGATATTTGCTCAGATCCTACTTTATTATTGTGTGTTTATTTAACTGCATCTCACCTGTTGTGCTGAGGAGGAGGAATAGTGCTTGGAGGCAGGTCTTCATGCCCCAGTGCACTAAGGGACGTTTGATTGGATGTTGTCAACAAGGATGCAGGGCCTGAGCCACTGTCTGTCAAAGTGGCCATGCTGGAGACAGATGCCGGTGTGACGGAGTCAGAGGCTGGCTTGACTGACACTGCAGAACCTGCTGCAGCTGGGGAGAGAGCGGTCAGGAAAAAAATGGTTACCTGTGGCAAATGTCTCAGACAACTTCAACAATGCTTCTAGGAAAAACACCCCTTTGTAAACAAACACTTACCTTCCACAGCTTGGGTTGCTTGTATTGAACTGAAGCCATTCTGTAAAACCAACAATGAAGGTGAGCTCACAGGTTTCTATGGAAACAGGCCATTGATAAGAAGCTGAACAGTGATGGGCTCTTAGAAACGTTCAGCAAGAAGCTTTTTCAATATGCAGAGAGCAATTTAACTACAGGTCAGGTTTGAAACCAGCAGTGCATAACAAAGAATACAACCTAACAATTAAAAAAAAAAAAAAGTAACAATGAAGGGATAGAGTAACACCAACTTGACGTGCACAGATAACTCACAATTTTAAGACTTGATTTCAGTAAATAATGTGCAAATCAGTTTAATGAAGAAGAAATAACTGTGTTAACCCAGACTACAACAGGAACATTGACCCTTGTATTGTCACTTCTTTCTTAATAGGCATTAATTTGCCATTCCATGACTGTACACCTGCAACTTTGATATTACATGCATGGAGCTCTGTACATTTAAGTTTTAATCTTCAAAGTTAGACATTTACATCAGGAGACTTCTATGTTAAACAAAGCCTTTCAGTAGTGCTGAACATTAGAATAGACTATTGTCATTGTAGACCGTACAACGAAATTGGGTGCAAACCTCAGGTGTAGAGAAAAATGTGTCAGTATCAAAAACAAAAAAACTATGAACCACATAAAAATCACACTTATTGCACATTGACAGACAAACTGCAAAGGTCCATCTCCATATTGACAGGAATAAAATAATTATGTTAAATATGTTAAAAAGTTACAAACAACATTGTAAGGTACAGTACAATGTCACATAATTACTAAGTAATGATAATGACATACTACATATAAGCTGAAGACCGTGTATTGTGAGGTGCGGTACAGTGTTGCCCACTTATGAGTTGCTCAGTGCAATTATTGCTTTTGGGTAGAAGCTGTTTTTTAATCTGTTTGTCCGTGCCTTGAGACACCTGAAACGTCTGCCTGAAGGTAGCATTTCCATCAGATGATGCCCAGGGTGGGACGAATTAGAGAACCAAGTGGGGGTCAAGTAGTCTGTTCCTCTAAGCACCACACTAACAACATCTATTCAATGTTTTATCAGTTTTACATGAAAGAGAGGGCTCTGGCCTCACCTTGGGCTGCATATCCTTCTGAGGAGAGGAGGAGACTGAAGGAGGGTAACGCCGTGTCTGAGATGCTCTCTGATCGTACAGGTCCATCTGGCTGGAGTTGGAGAGAGCTGGAGTCGACTCACTGCAGATGGTAACGATACTGAAGTGACCAAGTTTGATAAATTTGTCCTGCTAGGTGCTCTACTATGAATCATAAGTTCAACTATTCTTCAAGCATTTCCTGTGGTAGAAATACAAACTTTCTAATGTTTTGTTCTTGAGTTGTTCACAAAATGTGTCTTGAAAACATGCTACCAAAACAATCACACTGCATTTGCACAAACATGTTGGAGCTCCATTGTAAAGTTGTATTTCTGGTTGTACCAACCTGCTAGGGCTAGTGTAGAGACTGTTTTGAACTTGGCTGGCTGGTGTTGTGGTGGCAGGGGTGGACTCATACTCTGTTAGAACTGGTTCTGACCCAAACTGCAGTGCTCCAAACTGAAGATTGAGGCCTGAGATGTCTGTTGAACCCGGCATCTCCACTGCCATTGCTGGAATCTGAGAAGGATCAGGAGCATTTTTTTTTAAAGTTGTCTCAAATACTTTGAGTCTGTTCCCAGTATTGTTTCTTCAAACTTTCATCCAAGCACCAAAGGATTCCTTTCTCTCTCACACAAATCAGATCCATGAAATGAGCCATGCTACTTTGGTCACAACATGAAAAGCTAAACCAGACATGTCAGAACGAATGGTCTGTTTTTATACAGAAACAAGTTCCAACTAGGTAGGTCTTTTATTTGATGATGGTTCAAAAGACAATTACACCAGATGTGAACAGTGGGCTAACATACACATTTTCAGCAGTATTTGAAGACTTTTAAAAAGCCCGTCCATCCAGAAATAATAATTTAAAAAAAAAGTAATTTAAAGAAAATTGTAATTAAATTACCTTTGTTGTCATAGAAGTTCTCTTCTTCTGTTGTTTGAGTTTGTGTTGCTGCAAAGGCAGTGGACTTGAACCCTGTGCATCTGAGGAACTTGGAGAAACTTGGTGACCTAGAGAAGGGACTGCTGCCATTTTGGGAAGAGAGGAAGCAGGGGAAGGTGTCACATGGGAAGAGGATGTTGTTTGTTGGGGTAAGGAAGAAGACGAGGAAACGGAAGAAGAAGGAGGCAGGCCTTTGTCCTGCAGGAAAACATCCAACATGGACGAGGTTGAAGACGCAGTCTGGTAGGGCTGCCTCTTCGTAAAGGGCGTATGGACCGCTGACTCTGGCTGAGTCTTCAATTCTGGACAACAAGTGAGAGCAAAATGTTAGGACAGAAAACAGTGGTAACTGTTTAGGAGGTCCTACATGGAAAAAACGTGATCTACTGTACATGAAATCCTTTCAGTGCTCAAGGGAAGGGAAAGCTCAACAGAAAGAAAGAAAAAAGAGCAAAAAAGAGGAAAACAAAGCTTGAGAAGTGTTTCAATAGGGGTATTCAGTTTGATGCTAACTGACAACAGTATTACTTTTCAGAGGAAATACAGTAGGGTGTCATCTCACCGTACTGTCCCAGTGAGGTGGCACTGGTGTCCCAGGATGAAGGAGTTGTGTTGGGAGGGCCAGCCTGGGAGTGCTGGGCTGCCAGCTGGGCCAGTGCCTGAGCCGTTTTATATTGCTCCAGGAACTGAGAGCCAGTGGTCCCCGTGCTACCTCCTTTAGGGTCGCCCACATCCCCAAAGCCCTTGCTCAGAATGCTGACCTGCAACATCGGTAGATTATGACATACTGTGATTACAATAATGCAAGTACCTCTGCCTTATTAGCATAATTATAACAAGATGTCAGTGGCCCCATCCTCTTCCTCTGTGATTAGGAAGTGGTTGAGATATAAATCATTCGGAGATAATATTTTGCATCAGGAAGCATCAGGGTTTTCCCTAGGTATTCAGAGGGCTTAGGTGCATTCTAGGTCAGGTTGTTGTGGAATTTGAAATTATTCAAAGGAAATTTTTAGTTATTTGTCATTTTTTCTCTTTTTGACCATTATTTCTACAATATTTGTGAAACTTGGATTCAAAATCATTTTTGTCAGTGCATAGAATTCTCTCTGTTGTTTCTAACGTATATTCATTTTGATGTGTCGCGTAAAGGTCTTTCTCTGTTCATTTGGCTTAAGATGCTTTGTGTAAACATTTAGGTGATGCACCTAAGCCTTTCTATGGCAGGGAAAACCCTGAGCATCATCTAAGGGGCAGAATGTTTTTACCCACATAATTAGAAAAGTGTTTTTCTTGGCAAGTCTCACCATGCTGTGCTGGGTGTAGGGGGTGCTGGAAGGTGTCTGAGAGAGTGGCCCTCCTTGCTTGGAGTTGCTGAAAACAAGTGACTGAGACAAGGAGGTGGGCTGGCCTGCCTCCATAGGGGGATTTTCTGCCTCTGATGCGGAGGACGGGGGAGTCTTCCCCAGGAGCACTGCAAGGTCAATCCTATAGCAAAGAGAAAACAACTGTACTAAGTGAACATTTAAAAAGTATTCTATGTCTAGTGAATCTTTAATTTCACTACAACTCAGCTACAACTACTTATTTTAGTACTGGCTGCTTTATACATTAATTCATCTGAAGATTTTTTCCCCCCAATCAATCATTTGGTTTAAAAATTGAGAAAACTGTTTAAAAAAAAAAAATCATTATTCATAAACGTAATTTTTGAAGCTGACATCTTAATATCGTTTTTTTCCCAACCAACAAATCCAATGATATTTAGTTCATCACTGGCTACAAGAAACCATCCCCCCTGCTAAGGGGAGCCATCAACTAGTAGATGACCTGAATGTGTTCTACTGCTGGTTTGACAATCAACACTCCCCCATCACCCTCCCCACCTCAAACCCAGCAGCTGCTCCCCCGACAATCACCACCCTTCCCTCCAGCCCCCCAGGCTGGATGTGCGTGGCCTCTTTAAAAAACAAAGGATCAGAAAGGCACCAGGCCCAGATGGTGTGACCCCCTCCTGCCTGAAAGTGTATGCTGATCAGCTGGCCCCCATCTTCAACAGGTCACTGGAGCTGTGTGAAGTCCCGTCCTGCTTCAAATGCTCCCCCATCATCTCAGTCCCAAAGAAAACTCCCATCAGTGGACTGAACGACTACAGACCTGTCACCCTGACATCTGTAGTTATGAAGTCCTTCGAAAGACTGGTGTTGGCCCACCTGAAGGGCATCGTAGACCCCCTGCAGTCGGTGGATGATGCAGTCAACATAGCACTGCATTACATCCTGCAACACCTCGACTCGCCAGGGACCTATGCACGGGCCCTCTTTGTGGACTTCAGCTCAGCGTTCAGCACCATCATCCCAGACATCCTCCACTCCAAACTGACCCAGCTCACTGTGCCTGCCCCTACCTGTCAGTGGATTACTAGCTTTCTGACAGGAAGCAGCAAGTGCAGCTGGGGAAAACCACATCCAACACCCGGACAATAAGCACAGTCACCCCCCCCTCAACCTGCTGAAACAGTTCTACAGCGGAATCATCAAGTCTGTTCTCTGCACCTCCATCACTGTCTGGTTTGGTTCAGCAACCAAACAGGACAAGTACAGACTTCAGCGGACAGTCAGGACTGCAGAAAAGGTCATTGGTGTCAGCCTGCCCTCCATGGAGGACCTGTACACCTCACGGGTAAAAGGAGGGCGGAGAGGATCATTGCAGACCCCTCACACCCCGGACACAATCTGTTTGAACTCCTCCCCTCTGGACGGCATTACAGGTCACTGCATGCCAAGACAACCAGCCACAGGGACAGTTTCTTCCTGCCTATTTATACCATTTATTTTGTTATACTACACAGCCTTATGTTGGTATATTGTTTACTTGCTTCTTGCCTTGCATGGGAATATTTACATGCACATTGAAAGCTGCTGCACCAGAGTCAAATTCCTCATGTCCAACACACCTGGCCAATAAAGCTGATTCTGATTATAGTGTATAACAAGGAAACAGCGCATCTCCACAATTCAGAAACGAGAGCCATTCAATATTTGCTATTTTAGTATGACAACTTGCTTAAATGACTGTCAAAACAGTTGCTTAATTTTCTGTTGACTAAGGGTACGTTTACACGGAAACGCTAGACTGTAAAAGCATAGTTTCGTTAAAACGATTGCTGTGTAGACGGGAAGTATTTGCGTTGACATGAAAACAGTGAAAACGAATAAAACGATGTCTGAGCATAGCGCATTACCCTTGAAGATGATGGCATCATTAGCCAATATCCACTTTCCTTGCTGAGGAGTTGGCAACACTGTGCGAACACTACGAAGTTACCAACATTATTTTGTTGGTTGCAGCAGTAGTAAAGGAGCAGTTGTACTAATGCTAATAAGTTCATTAGCATCTGTGTGTAGCATGAAAGCATATAGTTCGCCATTGTTTATGTTGCTGTCACAGTCAATGTGACACTAGCAGTAGCTGATGCGGGGCGATGGTGTCATCGTTTCATCAACATATGCGGATTATAACGTTGACACGAAAACGTTTTAGCTGGCGTTTTGAAACTCTCCACTTTGGGACCCGTTTTAAAAAGTCTCAGTTTCGCTACCCGCCTAACCTGTGCCCATTTAAACGGAAGGCCAAACCGCATACTAAAGTAAGCGTTTACAGTCAAGAGCGTTTCCGTGTAAACGTACCCTAATTCATTAATCAACATTTAATAGGTTCAGCTTTAGGCTATATTTATATGACCATTCAACTATGCTTGATTTATCAGATAAGCCTTTAGCCAATAAAACAAAAATGATAAATGTCCATGTTTGGTCTAACAAGATTTTTTAAAACTTTAAAAAGACATATATATATTCAGTGACTCATATTGGAGATATCTGTTTGTTATCAATCAATTTTATGAAATAATCATCCATCACCTCTAAATTAAAATATATCAACAAACACCAGAGTGACACTGATATAATATGGCCATTAAAAATGACTGGACTGACATAGTCACAGCTTCAGATGAGCGAAGAAAATACATTTCTTTTCTCAACAAGTTCCTGGAAAAGTAATTTGCTAGAAAGCATGAGTCAGGCTAATAAACTGGATAAATAGCCCACCTCTGTCCTTTGGTGATGGTAACATTCTCTTGAGGCAGAGGCATGGATGCCACACTGGAAGCTGTGAATATCTTTGTCTCTGAAAGCTACAGCGGAAGAGGGAGGAGAAGATGAACAGCATAATAAAAGTAGTCATCCTGAATTAAAAACAGTCCACCAACAGTGGAACTGCGCTAAAATTTATTACTTCATAGTGCTCACGTAATCTTATATTTAGAGCACTAGACTGTTAAGCCCAGAAACACTCACATCCTCATTCCAGTCCTCAGTGCCCCACTCCTCTGTGGCAGTCCTCCAGGCACCTATGAGTCAAAGAGAAAGAGTTCAATACTATTGTGATGAGCAGAGAGAGCTTGTATAAAGTGAAGACAGAGAAGCAAAGTCAGGTTTACCAGGAGCAGAGTCAAACTTGGCTGGGTAATTTGTTCCCTCCCCTGCAGAGTATTCCAGCCCTGCAGACCAAGACAGAGGTGAGGAGATTAAAGCTGAATCTAAAGCCACTTTCCAAAAAAACCTATGTAAACTCGCCACACCTTGGCTTTTGACGGCAGTGGGAATGCAACTACTAGGACACATGGGTCGTTACCCACTTTGCCTTGGCTTGGAAACAATGGGAAAGCCAAACCCAGCTAAACCCACAAACATGTAATGACATGCACATCGGCATCACTTCAGCAGTTGCCAACAAGGAGGTAATAAAGGCTTGTCTCCTCCATTGACAATTTCGGCAATTCTTTGCCTTCTCTGCCATAAATTCCATCCATCTTCGTTCGATCCAAACTAACAAGGCTCAGCCTGCACCAAGTTTCTATACTTTGGAAGACGAACAAAAGTAAATACGAGGAAATAATGCTGACTGTCTCACTAGCTTCCATGGATGGTGCTTTGTATACTGACGCAGGTATCTGACATCACCAGCGTGATGACTTCAGATATAATGTACCAGAGGGGAAACAAGCTTGTCTGCTGGACAGCCAAACTGGGTCGATCAGCAGTGGGAATGCTGTCGGATGCCAGTTAAAGGCCGGTTTAGCCAGGGATAAAACTCCATGAATACACAGTACTTTTGGTGGGAAAACAGTATAACTGAAAGCCACCTGGCTACACAGACATCTGCACATAAAGATCTGGGATGAATACAATACACCTGACATTTGGGTATTTGTAAAAAATAGTGTGCATGGCTGATGAAGGCCAGCATTAAAAAGTGAATGATGAGCCTTCCTTTCATCAGCAGGAGCTTCTCTTGGATGCCAAAAGTGATCTTTAAAATGATCTGAATGGTAACCAGATGCTTCACTGATTTGATTAGCTTATTTTATTGGAGAGGAAACTAACTTACTAGCTCCCTCTTCCAGCTCCATATTTCCTGTGTTGTTCCAGGTGCTGCCCCCTCCATAGTTTTCTTCTGTCTGGCCTGGCTCTGCATAATCAGCAGGATTGAATGTTCTGGGGAAGAAAAAAAGAGAATTGGGCATATGTACCATTTCCAAAAGCATCAGTCACAGCTGGGTGCCACCACACACAAAAATCTGAAGCCCCTTCTGTTTGTTTTTTTACAGGTCAAAGTTTTAACAGGATTAAGCAGAAGCAAATCTGCTCAGTGGTTCACACGACTACGATTTAGTTGGTTTTCAGTGTAGCAGCATGTAATGTTTTAAATGTGTCTATGAATGCTGTGATCATTATTGGACTATTTACTTGGAAAGTTTGTAGCAGGATGGCAGGAGGAGGAAATGACATGAGATTGAGCAAAAGTGGCCTTTGAGAGTTTACACTGTCAAACACTGAAATGAAAATGAGGATATGTAATCATCTGAACACTTTATTTGTTGTTCCTCAACAACTCTTTCCTCATACTGCATGTCTTTCAGTAATTTGATGCATTCATGTACAGCTGGTGCAACCTAGCAACATCACGAAGCACAACACTTTTCGTTTGAGCCAAGCCAAATGGCTCTCATTACAGTATTTGTCAATCCTTCCTGTGCAAATCTGCGGGCATCAGTGGCTTGCATTCACAGGTTTAAGATCAAAATTTAAGGAGGTCATGTCTACTTCATATCCTATTAATACTACTTTCGGTTTATATAATATCTTGCATTACATCATCCTGTTTTATGTCACGCAAAAGAATCCCCAAAGAAAGCAGCCATACAGACACACCAGAGGCGACACACTCACCTCTCGCCTCCTGCAATATCATATCTGGGCTCCTTATCAATCTGGCTTTAGAGGAAAAATAATGGCAACAATTACAAGAAGTGAAGACAAAGTAAAATAGACAAAGATTGTTTTTCAGACCACAATCCAGAGCATTAGTGTAAGCAAAACGCCTTCAATTTGTCTGTGCCAGTACTTTAACATTCTACATCTGATGATCAATCTACAATGCAAGGCAAGCCAGAGTGCTTTTAGTCTTGATGCGTCAATGCATAATTCAAGAAAAAACTCACAAGTGACACACAACAACCACAAACTTTTGCTAGATGATAGCAGTTATGCTTGAGTAAATGCAAAAATCCTTTTAATTGATGCATTTTATCCCTAAATAATCAGAAACCTCAACTGTTCTATTATCCAGCTGCTACAACTCAAAGCCAACAGCCATACAGGATGTTACTACAAATGGGTCACTCGCTACTGAAAGTAATCTCCACCTTTATAGTCTTACACTGTCTCATTCTTAATCAGACAGTCTCACTTCATTTCAATCTGATTTTCTTTTGACAGTCTACCAACACGATGTCACATAGCTGCTATGCCACAATACTTATTACAGGCATTTAATACTAATGCTACTTCTGATCAACCTTAACCAGTCTAATATTAAACTGTTTCAAAAATAAAACCTACCACTAGTTGAGTACTACATGTTTTAGTTTTCATAGCAATGCCTTCAAATATTCAAAAATTTCAAAAGGATATACTCCCAACTCTTCCAGTTTGACTGCTAGCTGAACTACAGAATTCAAATACAAAAGCCTCCAACATTTACCACGAAGAAACACACGAGAAATAAACCAGCAAATGCTGTAGTACAACTAAAAACAAATGGCTACATCATGAATGGAGCTGTGTTCTCTTGTTCTTAGCAAGATCTTGTCACAGTGTTGAACATCTCCTTTTACAACAGGCAACAGCAGCTATGGAGGTGGTTGATAAATGTAGTCATGTTACATGCTGCTGTTAGGGCACACTCTGGATTTCAAATGAAGGACAGTGACTCAAGATCAGTAGCATCTAGCTGCAACCACATCATCAAATTTGCTAAAGACAACACTGATGGGTCTCGTCACAGCTGATGATGAAACCGATTACAAGGAAGAGGTGAAACAGCTACCTATGTGGCATAGTAACAAGAATCTCTCCTTAAATGTAGAAAAGACCCCAGGAGATGATCATAGACTTTAGAAACTGTAGCAAGGTGCCCCTCTGACCATTAATGGGACTAACGTTGACAGCAGTATTAAGTTCCTGGGGGTCCCACATTGCCGCTGACCTAAATTGGCCCATCAACACCACTACCCTCAAGAAAAAAAAAACCCAAACAAACTCAGCAACACCTTTACTTTCTGAAAAAGGCAAACTCCATCCCCTCCATCATGACAACATTCTACAGAAGAACTATAGAGAGGATCCTAACACACTGCATCACAGTCTAGTAAGGGAACTGGACCGCTGCCAACCGGAAGTCTGCAGAGGATAGTAAGAGCTGCAGAGAAGAGCATAGGTATCTCTCTCCCCTCTGTCACTGACATCTACAGGGACTAGTGTGTCAGAAAGACCATCAACTTAATAAGTGATCCCTGTCACCGCTCACATCTGCTATCAGAACTCGAAACACACTTCAAATGTTGTCCCCCTATCTCCCCTCTTGTACTAGGCTACCCTCATAAGAGGTTAGCACCTTTTTTTGGGGGGGGGATGCTGATTTCTTCATGAAATGCTGCCTGTGTGTTTAAATGTGTGTGTTTTAATGGTCTGTTGTTGGTGTGCCTGCGATTTTTAAATGTGAAACATACCGACTGATGGAGAACGGTATTTCACTTCCATGTATGCTGAGTGTACTATGGAAGTGACAATAAACCTGATTGACTGACTGAAATATGCTGAAAATTACATTCAGCCTTGTTGTGGGAGGAAGTCACTCAGCCCTTGACACTGATAGACAAAGCCACATCATGTCACATGCACTACTTCAGAGGTATAGTTGATTTTAAATCCATAACTGCAGATTAACATCAAATTTCACCTGAGGTTCTACTGCAGTATAATGCACTAATTAACAATGACTCAAGAATGTGCCCACAGAATAACTATTTCCTCTGTTATGACACCTGCTAGTCAAGTTGCCTGTAGGAAATGCTAACTTTTCAACTAACAACACACAGAGAAACAGACACTGATACACAGAACAGGCAAAACACAAATCAAACAATGCCAGAGCACAAAGCCAGCCAGTAGAGAGTACAAGTTAATCAGTCAGGTCCCTGAGACCCTTTTTAGTGGCTCTATCCAAATTTCACTCCAAAAATGCTGACACGCCATGCACTCTTAGGAGAAATATTTTGCCGACACTGCTCCATCCCATTGGCTGATGTTGTCCCTCCTTTGGATTAAGGCTAAACAATAGGCTGGGGTCCTGCTCTCTGGTGACCATGGCAACAGGTAGAAGTGGAACAAAAGGCACTCTGGTTTTAGGCAACGCAGGTGTTCCCTTACCCCATGCCCTGTGCTGAAAATCTGCCTCCTCGCCGCCCGGATACTCCTGGGGTGACAATGGGAGACACGACTATTGTCACAAGAATGGCAGCATTTTAAGGAAAAGTAAAAAACCAGGATTCCCCCTTGTTTTGCTCAGATACATTTCCTTCAACAAGGAGATGGACTAGAGAGGACTACAGCCACTTACCAAAAGTCCCTCTTCCTCTGCCTCTTCCCCTTCGACCTCGCTCTGCACCTCTACCAGCTACTCCAGCCTTGCTGCCATCTAAGCCATTCTCTTGACCACGAACTGGAGAGAGAAAACATCTTATTTAGACACTACACTGTGCCAGATACAGCAAGCCCCTTAACATAACTGAGCCTTCTCCATGTGTCATGGTGGAGTTGGAGCTCTTTTCATGGAAAACATTTTTTCCTCTGTAAATACAGAGTTGATGTGATTTACCAAAAATCTCTCATTGTGTTTAATCTGTCTAAAAGACATTCTTCCAGAAGCACTGTGGCTTGTCAACAATTTAGTATACTCCAGTCAATTTTTATGCTACTCTTTCAAAAGTGGAGTTTTCTTCCAGGGAGCCAATTTGATTCAAAAAACAACATACAGCATGACTGAACATTTCTATACTTTGGACATCAGCTTGTATCTGTTTTGCAGTTTTCCTTGGGTACATTTCCACCATTTGGACTCTCCTGTTCAATATGGGCACAAATTTCCTCTTGTAGCCACCTGCAGAGAGGTTGGCTACAGTCCCAAGGATTTTAAACTTGTCAATAATATTAGCAACTGTGGTCACAGAACATCAAGCTGCTTAGAGGTGGTCTTGGAGCTACCAGTTATTTCCTTATCTCTCCAAACAACTCCTTTCCTTCCTTTTGTAAATCTTCAGTGTGGTGCACATAATGATACCAAACAGCACAATGAGAACTTTTCTCTTTTCGAATAAGCTGAATGACTGATCATAAGATACTAATTGAAATATTATACAATTTCTTTAATTATCCCCACTTCTATTTAAATTAAGTGTAGGGCACAAAAACATTTGTAGACACATCAGCATTTATATTCCTGAGTGTCAAATGCACAAAGCTCTCTCGGATCAATTTGGTGATACCAAAAAGCAGTCCAAGTAAAAATACACTCAAAAAACAAGTCTAAAATAGAGCACGGACTGACTTTTTGTGTAGAACCAAGTGTGTGAATTTAGAAGCTTAACAAAAAAAAAAAAAAAGGAAACAAGCTGCAGTAAACACTTACATTCTCGTCCCCTGCTGGCCCCACGGCCCTTGCGTGGAGCTCCACCTCGACGACGTGCTACATCTTTTTCTCCTCCTTTCTCCCTGTTCTCTTTTCCTTCCTCTCTGGTTTCTGCCTGGGTAGCCTCCTTCTGGCCTGACACCCCTTTCTTCTTCCCCACCATTTCCCAAGAGTCCTTAGGAAGAAGGACAGTGTTGTTAAGTCAGCATGCTGCTGGATTCACTAACTTTGTACCGAGTTTCTGAGCTAGAAACACTCACTGAAACAAGAGAGTCGATTCAAGTGTATTTGAAGACCACCGTCATTACAAGAGGAAAAGATTCAATTCAATTCTATGTTATATGTATAGCGCCAATTAACAACAACTATCATCATCTCAGAGCACTTTACATAGTGAGGTCTAGACCTTGCAGTATTATAGGGAAAACAACAATGCTGGCTGGGTTAGACAACTGGTAAAGGATGCCCAGCTAAAACATTCAAAACTAAATGAAATGTATATTTTTTAAAGTGTTATACAGTGGTCGCTCACTATAACACGGTTCACCTTTCGCGGCCTCGCAGTTTCGCAGATTTTTTTTTGTGCAATTTTGCATGCTTTTTTGCATGCCGTGTCTCCAGAATGCGTTCAGCTTGCCAAATTTACATAAATCTTCGATCGCTAGCAGTGTGACTCTGAAGTGCTGTACTGTATGTTTGCAAGTTTTCTCCCCAAAAAACCCCACAATGTCGACGAAACGTTCTGCACCGTCAAAGGGACCTGCGGTAGCACCCAGAAGGCAGAGGAAGATGCTAACCATCACACAAAAAGTTAGACTTCTGGACATGCTAAAGGAAGGTAGAAGTTACGCGGCTGTAGGGCGCCATTACGGAATAAATGAATATTCGGTTATTTAAATAAAGAAGGAGGAAAACGAAGGTTTGAACTTTGAGAGTGTTTAAACAAGAGAGAAAAGTGTGAAAATGTTAATGCCTGTCTGAGAAAAGTGTATAGTGAGGGGTTTTACAGCCTTAAAACATCTATAATAACTAAAAAATAAAGCTGACTACTTCGCGGATTTCGCCTATTGCAGGTTATTTTTAGAACGCAACTCCCGCGATTAACGAGGGACCACTGTATATACAAACAGTTTGCATATTAAGGCGTCTGTTGGTCTGAAGTTAATACAACATTGACTGATTAGCTCGTGGCCCAACTGGTGGGTTTACAGCTTCTCATCAGGTCGTAGGTATCCTAAGTGTAAATCACGACGGCAGCTCACCATCCTGATGTCCGTCAGCCATCAGTGATGGATGATGGCATCGTCCATTGGCCCAACTCTACCCAGCGAGACGTATTAAACTGGCAAGTCTCGCCACTAAATGTGTATCTCAAAACCCAAGCAGCAGACAACAACTTATCAGGTACGATTAATGTGCTGGCAAGACGCCTCCGTTCTCCTCTGGTTTCAATTTCCCTGCATGCTCTACTAGCTCCATTTAAATCAATCAAATGAGATCTCATTTAGTTGCTCATTGCAATTTTTAAGAATGTGTCAGTTAATTACTGTATTCTTTTCTTGTTTATTCATTTCACTGATAAAGTGTGACAGTAAAAAAATTTGGAAAAAATTACTTTTATTTAAGGGTCAGTAACAATAGGGGCATAAGGAAGTGACAGGAGATGTGCAGAAAGTGTTTACAGTAAACTTCTTTGTGTACCTTTTATACTCACATGCAGGTTTTATCTAAATTAGGAAATACTCTGTCTCTACCCTCATTCATACCATGCTATGCCTTCACAGCAGCACTACTCTTTCAGCAAAATGTAATTACATTACCAGTTATCTAACCCAGTATAGCACTGATTTCTCCAGAATCTGGCCCTTGCAGCACTAAATCATCACACAAAGCCAATACTCACAGTGTCTGGGCTACCCTCCAGCAACACATTAATGGCTCTGTTGACATCTCCATTGCAATCATGCAGGGCGATCATAGACTCATCCTGGTCCTTTCCTGTGATGTCAATCAGCTAGAAAAGGAGGAGTGGCATGATGAGACACAGGTGACCCCTGGCTGACACCCCTAGCATCTCATCTTTAAAAAGGCACTTGTGCAGAATATTATTTTCCATCTACCAGCTTAAAAACCTTGATATAATGCACCGAGTGCTGCGTCATTGACTTTCTGCGCTTGGTGACATCTAGGGCTGTCCCCAAATATTCGAGTCATTAGTCGAGAGCCCTGTCAGTCGACTGAGACTGTTCTAACTGATCCTTTATTTGATTTTTTTGTCAGCCAGTGTGCATTACAATAGTAGGTAGGCCCAGCCTGGTAGTTTGTTGTGTTCTTCTCCTCATGTTGGTGTGCCAAGCAGCAATTTGCTCAATGCATTCCACTGGGTTCAGATGGAATTTCCACTTCAACTGTGACACTGTCCAATGCATGGATGTACATTAAGGTCAGATCTATTTAGCAAACTGCAGAATGAGAAGAAAAGGACAACAAAACCCACTAGGACAAGCCACATAAAGGTGAGATTTGTACTTTATTAAAAGTGTTTTCAACCATCATGGTCTACTTTTACAGTACCAATGGTCGTGACTGTGTGGCTGATTTTGCATGGCGTAATGTTATGCAAGTCTGGTTTGTTCACCGATCTCTGTTAAAGTGCAACGCACAGACATTTACCAACTGTTTCTGTGACATGCATCCATGCGAATGGAACTAGGAAGCTAACAAAAATGTGCTAGGAAAACATTTCATTGAGTAATTATAAATAAAAGAAATTGTTCACAGTTTAAGCTGGCACACATCAAACACACAGTAACAACGTGCGCTGTGGTTAAATGATGGGAAAACCTTAAGTTTGCTGGTAAACAAGGCTATAACCGTCTCATAAGAAAAAATTGCCCATAAGAGCATTGTTTCAACAGAAATAAAAGTGTGCTGCCTGTCTTGTTATTCCCACAAATCCATATGGCAGCCTGACATTATATACAGCCAATTTAAATATGTTGCAATTTAACTATTGCATTATATCTTTTATTAATTTTTAAAAGCTCAGAAATATGTTCCCATCACTCTTTTGCATTTAAATACCAATGTTAATGTGGTCAAAATCATCACAGAAATACAGGTCAGTTGCTTTTCTGACAGTCTAGGCTAGATATATATACACACACATAAAAAAAACTAAGAAAACGAGCAAAGAGTTGAACTGCAGAGCCAACTGACCGTCGACTGACAAAATCGTTAGTCACGTACAGCCCTAGTGACATCTCACAAAAGAAATATGCAAAGCATCAAGTATAAACATACACACAATATCCTATATAGCAGTGCTACTTTACTATTTTCAAGGGAGCAAGAAAGACTACACAGGAATGCTGAGTGAAGATGAAGTGGGACAGCAGGATGCTGTACATCTGCTCACCTGTTTGACCTTCTCCTCAAAGTCTGCATCATTGTGGTCTGAAATCATCTGCGCGAGTCGAATCTGCTCTGCGGTGGCCTGTTCCCAGAAGCACAAAACATAGATAAAATGTGTGAAATGACATTTGCATCAACAAACCGAAAGTACAAGCTTGTTTTTAACCATTTATAAAATCTCTAGGTCTAATTCAAAAGTAATGTGAAACCAACAAAATTCAACTACTACTATGTGACTTTATGCTGGGAAAGCGATTTTCTTTGCTATTCTGTCATGGCAATGTGCATAGGTACAGCATCTACTTGAACCTTACTCAACTAGAGGCTGTACATTTTCTGTGTTTATGATATCAGGTTTTATTGTATATATTGTAGCACTGAATGAACACAACTTTGTCCCAGTGTATATTTAGTACTGTTTATGGAAACTAAATACTTTGATTTCTGAATGTATTAGACATTTAAAAACCTTTCAAATTTTGAAACAACACATATGCTCTTATTGTTTAATTTCATAGAATGTCTGTGAACTTGAAACTTAAATGACGAACATTTCAGGGGGACTCAAATGACATTACACAGTGATCTATTGGAGATATACAGTTTACATATGCATCTAAATTTTGCAGTGAACTAGAAGAGCAGGCTTCTTCAGAAAGAAACAAAAATCAGGCTTTTTACTTATAGCAAAACAAACGTTCCCTTAACATTTCTACTACTCTCCTCTCAATAATCATCTTGCCCTTTTCATGAAACTACTCTCTCATAAGCACCATTTTGTATTTGAGGTTATACTAACTAATACAGAGTTGTTAGAGTGTGTACTATGCAGCATTGTAGGCAGAAATCTTGCACCTAAGAAAACAAATAACATTTAGTAATACTTAATTTCCCATATTGAACACTGGTGCAAATCACTGTGCATCTGGGCAGTGTTACAGGTGGTGACAGAGGGTGATACCTGAGGCCTCTGCTTGTGCTGTATCTGGCTCTGTGTCTGGCCCTGTGTCTGCTCCCAGCTGCCCCGGGCTCGGTTCCCGCCCATGGACGTCATCATTTACAGTATATACAAATAACAGTATTTACAAAGAAAAAACACCTGGGGAGAAAAGAATAAGAGACACCTTAAAGACCTGTAACCAACTAATGTCATAAACATGCCTGGTACAATTGAATACTACTTCCTCAAACAGCTTAGTGGCTCATTTCCTAGTGAGGAGAAGCTGAGTAGTATCAAGAAGACACAATCAGCTTTGTTTTCTGAGACGCAGGGAAAACGTTGACAAAACAAAACAAAATGTTTTTCAGTTCCTTTCTATGACAGTGTGTGCAAGCAAAGCAAGCCGCAGGTTTGACCCTGGAAGCAAGACTGCCATGGTACACTGTGCCCCGTTATATATGGGGCTTAAAGTGCATAATGTTAAGTACTTTCTTTACCTCATCAGAACATCATGCAACAGTTTCCAAATGAAAATAGACTTGGTGGTGGTGTTAACCTACATTATGAAACAACACTAACTTATATGATCACAAACCCCACGATCGCCACTGAACTGAATAAATATGAGGGGCACTATATAAACACAGAGTTATTTCAGCCAAACAAGCTATAATCTATTCGACAGCAAACTGTTAACTTTTCTGTGACACCGAATCCTTAATCCACCATACGTTACGTAAAACCCTGTTGGGACTTGCTCACAAATGAGCCCAAAGCCAGGGCCCGTCGAACACATTCGATTCTATTAGCCAGCCACATGGCCAAAATGCTAGCCAACTGGCTAATACTTGAGGGAAAGCATCCAGCTTTGAAGTCTCGGTGGGTTTCCGCTTCTCACGGCTTCACCTCATGGCGACAATGAGGCTAAAAGCCGCTAGCTAACCAGCTAACCAAGTGCCAATGCCTGCCTAACAACGTTAAGTTGTTATCGTTAGCCGAGTTAGTTTGATAGCAAACAAGTAAATAAGCTACTCAGCTAGTAGCGAACAGTGAATCTTTCATTTCGTTCAGACAAACCTAAACGCCTATGCCACTCACAGTTTCCACTACTTGTATGCTAACGACTGCTAGCCATGCTAAATTAACGAACTAACGTCGTTTCACATAGCTAGGAAATGTTAGCTAGTTAGCTACGTTAGCAAGGTAACAGCTTTTTAAACTGCACCGGCACCTTGCGACACTTTCATTCAGTCTGCCCCCAGTATAACACGGTGACCGGGCTCTCGACATAGAAAACACCGAGGCGAACGATAGGCCTAAAGGCCCCTAAAATGAAAATAAATAACAGGCGTTACTAACCAGAAACCCGGTTCAATATTAGACACTGCTACAAAACCGACTGACAAGTGGCCTCGTTGTCGACCTTCCAGTCGGATTTAGTACAGTATATTTATTCCTGAACCCAGAGTTAATACAACTAAGTTGAGAAAATACAACGAATCGACTCGCTCACACAATATGCAAGACTGTGAATTTACCTGTTTCTTTTCCACTCTGACACCATGGAGTGCTGCGTCACGTGGTTCACAGAGCGCTTCAAGGAAACCGGACCCCCAACATGTGATCAACGGAGTTATGACATGTCAGAAGTGGGGATGCTCAAACTTTACTGAAACAGTGACGGTTATAATAAACAAAGTGTACTATTACTATGAACAAGACTGCTAGGGTCAAGAGCTGTATCTTTATATTTACTTTATGATGTGCGCTCATTGAAACTATTCAGAAGGACTTAAATATCACTTGCTACAGCAGCAACACAAAAAACAAACTGATCAAAAATTCTTAATAAGGTAGTCTTATTAGTGAAGACTGACAGCTATGCTGTATGTACCTATACATATTATAAACATAAGTGTATTTAATTTTAAAATATATGGAAAATATAAAAACAATCAAACATCTTAAAATATATACAGATGTATATGTATATATCTACACATATTATTTAGAGGAAGATTATACAATACACAACATAATATATTGTGACGTAGTGACATAAATTCAATAAGATGGTAATATAAGTAATATAAATAGTATAATTATATATATTTATATAAGTTCTAATTAGGTAAAGTGCTTGTTTCAATGTACAACAGAAATTTGAAAGAAAGAATATGAAATGTGTTTGTTTGACTGTTTATACCAAATTTTGCACAAAAATAAATGGTGTATTACCGAAACTATATATGTAACAATAAAATATATAAATGCAGCAAAG